TCCTGCTTTTTGGGTAGGTGTGTTAACCCTCCTGACCACGACTTCCTATTCTTAAACAGGAGCTGCACAAGCTGCTTATATATTGGTCTTGCATTGCAAAACTAAGATGTGATTTGAGATTCTGTTGATATGTAGTTTTGCTATAACATTATTATCCTGTTACTTGTAATCTTTATAAATGCTTTCATTTTTCCCTTTTTGTTAATAGAATGGTAGCTATCCTGAATATTATTGTTCTTCAGCTTATTGAAAATTCCTTCGTGTTTCTTACAAAACCTTAGATAATTGCTTAAGAAAGTAAATTTAACTATCGTATTTTTTGGGGTCACTTTTGTTTTTTATTTTTTATTTTTTGTTTTTATTTTGTTTTGTTTATCTCTTGATTTGAAATAAAATATGTTTGTTGGTGATACTTATTTTTAAATTCTCAAAACATCTAAAAGTTGTTTTGAGCGTTTTTAAAAATAAGTAGATTTATTTATTTTTTTTATAATATCATTCTAAAAGTATGTGAAACAAACATGTTTCTAAAATCAGATCAAAAAAACAGAACCAAATATAAATATGATCCCATTTAGGTCCTACCTTTTTATGTTGAGAGATGTGCTTGACTTTTTGGATTATTTTATGATGCAGAAAACAATTCCTTTTCATGAAGTCACATGCGTGAGGAAAGCAAAAACTGCTGCAATTTTTCCCAATGCCATAGAAATTGCTGCTGGTGTGAAGAAGGTGTGTTAGCTGTCATATTTTTTCCCCCTTTATTAAACTTATTTGTTCTAAAAATGGGTTTGTCATATATTTAACACTTGCCTGAAGTTTAAATTTATTTCTTTCTGTGACAGCTTATTATCTTAACTATGAAAGGTTTTTCAACTCATGAATTCATTTCGTATAGTTTTAATTTTTAAATGCAGCACTTTTTTGGTTCTTTTTTGTCACGTGATGAGGCTTATAAGCTAATTGTGGATGGTTGGGCACAACATGCTGGTGATGCTAGATTCATCCTTGAGGTTTGTAATTTTTTTGCTTCAGAATTTAGAATGTTGTTGGGCTACTGTTGAGCTATATGTAATTGTTCCTTATATGCTGCAATTCATTTTTTATTTTATCTATTTTGTGTTAAAATCATATATTATATCAAGTGGAAGTTTTTTTTTAAATAACATATATGTGGACATTTGTCCAACATATTTCGACTCAATAAGAATTAAACAAAATACAAAACCTTGTGATGTATGAAAACAAATGAAACTAAAGGGGAAGATTTTTACAAGATCAAATCTTCACTTATACACTAAATTATCATATCAATCCATTTTCTATTAATATTTTTAAGCTTCATGAAGATTTTCTTGCCGATAAGGTCAAACATTACATGAGTTTTAGCTTGCATTCCTTGAAAAAAAATTGTGTTATTTCTCTCATTCCAATGATGCCAGATCATAGATACAATAACAGGCTGGATTGCCCGAGTAGCTCTCGAAGCAGTCAATCAAAATAAATTTTTTGGTCATTTACTTACATGCCACACAATTCTTATGTATTACGTATCTAACATCTAAACCTTCCTATTTCCATGCACATGAGTCAAGTCTTCAACATCACATGAAAAATTCCACCATCACTATCCTTTTAAAGTGAAATATACCTTTTATTGCATAAGTTTATGACACCATGATGCTATGAGTATAAATATCAAACTTTGGGTTTTAGATATGTAAATACAATAGAATTTTGTGGTTTATTTAAATTTCCGTAATTTTTTTTAATAATAGTCTCCAAGGTGGCCAAACTAAATGCACCGCATGTCATGGATCTCATAGCAAACAGGAGAAATTACATCCAAGAAATAAATGATGATGATTTTCAACATCATTTATTTCTTGGATGTGATCTTTGGTCAATGAAAGCCATGTAATTTTTTTTTCTAACTTTGAGTAGCCTTACTGTTCCAAACAAAGGTATCCCAGGGTTTAGGCTGAAAATGTTGCTGAAAGGATAACTTTGTCAAGCTAGTATGGAAAAATATGTGAAACAATGTGGAAAATCTTTAGCTGAGAAAAACTTAGGTCTCCAACTTTAAAAGGGGAGTTTATTAAGGTTGAGTCTAATTGTGTGAAACTAGAGTGGACGGGAAACAGCATAAGGGTTCAAAAACTCAATTTAGTGGCTGAAAAATTCCTAATTAACCAATAAATTCTTGAGGTTTCATTTCATTTTCTTGATTTCCGTTCAAACAAATCCTAAGACTATTATGTTTGAATGCTTGGAATTTTAGTGAAAAGTGATGAAAAATAAATGTTTAAAAGCTCAAATCAATGACTAGATACATACTCGACTCATAAATTGTTGGGCATTTGTTTCATTTCTTCACCTTCCCTTTGGTCAAACGAAACAAACAAGAGTCTTTAGCTCTGGGAACTATTCTTCCGCCCATCGAGTTGAACTTATCTTTACATTGTAGAGCCTTGTGAGTTGGGGTAATGTTGCAAATTCAAGATATGCTTGATGACAATGCCTTTCCTCTGGATATTGGTGTACTACCTAGTTTCTGCACAAGACCTATCATATTAAAGGCCGCCTAGGCCTTATTTTACCATTTTGAAGCTTGTGCCTTTTCTAAAAATGCTGTTTGGCAATTGAATATTATATCAGAGTTTGTGATAGTTTTGATTGCATGTTCAAAGGGATGAAATCTAAGAGGGGCCTGTTAAAAAGCAACAACATTTGTTTGGCATGCACAATGTTCGAGCAGAAGATGAGATGTGCAAATAGATAACTGTCTGCATTTGAATATTATAAATATAATAATCCATAGAAACAACTTAGATCATTTAAGTTGCATTCAAAACATCATCATCATCGTTGACATCATCAACCTTATTCCAAATATTTGGTGTCGGCATTATTACTATTCTTATTTGGGAACTGTCTTGTTATTATTCAAAATTAATGTTGGGATGGCTTTGTGTAACCAATTATTCTAAATGATTGGATTGATCAGGCACAACTAAGGTTTCATTGCCAATGGTCTAGCCTCCTTTGATCCAAAGGTGCTTGCAACTCCCATTACCAAATTGTTTATTTTGGTTGAATGCAAGTGAGTATTCACTTCCAGTAGACCCAACAATAGTTATTCTGTTTTTTTAACAATCTTATGTCATAATCATCCCCTCTTATGTCTAATCATGCCACTTGGGATTTTAAACCCCTGATATGTGCTTTGATACCATCTAGCATAGGGTCGCTTAGTGCAACTAAGGTTTAAAATTGCACAATTAGTTATTGGGGCATTTTTCATGCATGAGGCGAGATGCAAGTCTCAAGATATTTTTAGCCATAAGCCTCAAATTTTAAAAGTTCAATAAATGAATGATTATTATATAAACTATAAAATATGAAGTAAAATATAACATATTATTATCCTAATATATTAACATTTTAAAAGTAATATAATAATATAGTTAAAAAATTAATAAATTGTGCAAAATAAAAATTAAAACATTAACCTCGATATCAAGTTGTGGAATAAGATGTGTTATAGAAATATTAAACAATTAAAATAAGCTAAAATATAAAAATAAGATATAAAAATATTAAAATAAGACAATCAAATAAGTTCAACATACACTCATTAAGTCCCCCCTTCAGTATGAATATAACAAAATATTTGAATTTTTAAATTTAAAAGTCAATATTACTTTCATCACCTAATTAATTGTTATCAAAATGATCAACAATGAATTGCTTATAGCTCGCCTTATGTTCTTATCCATATTCTCCCATTTCTTTTTCAGTTTAAACTCAATTATCTTCTTTTTTCTCTAATAAATTAGGGATGTGCATGTAGTCGTCTTGGACGGTTTGTATGACATGTTTGTGAAACCAATTATCTTTGGATATCTACAATTTTAGACCAAACCAATCAAACAAAATGCAGAACTGAACTAAAACGAACAAGAATTTGATTCAATTATTTTGGTTTGGTTTTTGCTTAAACAAAAATTAGTTATATTTAGAAATTATTTGTGCAGTTTATATATATTATGCAATTTTTTCTTACAAAATTGATAAGCAATAAGCATAATTAAAATATAACTAGACTAGTAATGGGTTACTTTCACGAAAATTCGAGTGGAGAAGATAAACATAGTAAAAAATACATATTGCGAAATGGATTTTAATTTTTTTAGTATTTACCGTTTTTTGGTTTTATCCAAAATTGTGATTCTAAAACCGTTTCAAAAATCGAGAACAATATATTTTACTAATCAAAACCAATATTCGAACAACTAATTTTAAAACATATCTAAACCATCCAAAAAAATTTGTTCAATTTGATTTTTTCAATTAATAACCAAATAATTCACACCCTATAATAAATAATTATTAATAAAAATATTAAGTAAAATATTAACTATGCTAATAGTTAGAACTTCAACTACGTAAATTTTTTGGAATATAGTTTATGTTTTTTCTTGCTATTTAGTGTGTGAGGTGTGAGGGTTGATATATTAGGTATATTGATATTATCTTTAGTTTTACTTAAAAGAACTGTGGATAAAAAAAATTTAAGTCTCTTTAAGGCGAGGCGCTCCTTAAGAGAACCTTAACTTGTATGTCTCACCCTTGGAAAATAAGGCATAAACCGCATTGCAATTTATTATAATAAGCATTAAGACGTGCCTCACGGGAACCTCTTATTATTTTAAATAATGAGTGCAACCAACCACTCAAAAAATCTAGCCTAACGGTGAAGTCATGACTAAGGTTCTGTTTGGGACAGCTGCAAATTATTTATATTTTGTTTATTTGCAGATTATCCTGACAATCTGAAAATCTGCATATTATTCTGATAAGCTTGTTGGTTGTTTGAGGGAGCTTATTCAGAACAACTTCTTGCAGCTGTTTATGGATAAATGATCATTCTGCCCCTGTTAAGTAATGTTGTTCATACTGAAATGCCAAGACAGCTCCAAACTGCAGTGCAACCATCCAACAAGAACAACTCATTCCAATATGCTTCCACCAAGCCCAATTGCACTGCAAGCATAGCTTGCTCTCTTGGCAATTCCAACCAAAAAAAACATATTGAAATGCTAAGGCAGAAACCCCAAGATATAAAATCGCAAATCCTAAAAAATTGGGGAGAATAATTTGAGAAGAGGAGAAAGAACATACTGAAATGTCAAACACATTCGAAAAATGAGAATATTCCATACAACAAATCAATCGAAAGCCCAACATTTCCCAACGAAATCCAACTAATAAAATCCAACTGAAGGATCACCAATTAACGAAAATTATTCCATTCAATATTTACAGATCGATCGTTAGGAGAGGGCTTAGGGAGATTTAAGGTGGATGAGAGGCGAAGGAGCAGTGAGGAGGTGAACCGAGCACGAGAGCTCGAGAGGTGAAGGATACAGGATCACGTTAGGGCAGACGACATAAAGGGCAGCCAAGTAAAACAAAGCTAACGAACGAGTGCCGTGAGGTCGATTTTGTGGTAAAGAAATAACGACGGCGTTACGAAAACGTCTCTTGAAAGCGTTAAACAAACGGAACGTAAATCCTTATAGCCAAATGCCTTGTTGCCCTAAAACTATTGGGTGCATAATAGTGTCCATGACTTGTTCGCTAAAGTTGAATGTTGATCCTTGAATCGATGATCGATCATCAATTTGTAAGAAACATGACATTTTTATCTCACATTTGCAAAATTCCTTTTCCATTTTCTTGATTTGCCACAAGATTACCACATTAGCTAACTACTATGTTCTACCATGCCATGCCCTATATACCTTCTATAGGTAATCATGGAGTAAATGATCACTGATTATATCATTAATGGCCTAAAATGAAAACATTGTGTACCACTTGCTGATGACATCTAGCTTACTATTGAAGAGCTTGACATCACCCCTACTATGATTGAAGAATATTTTGTAGTGGCCCATCCAGAGGATAGTTCACTTTAATCATGGGGGGATGGACAAGCTCCTCATCTTCAGTATCTAATATGCCGCCATAAAGAATATTATCTAATTTTGTTTTCGTAACAATGAGATTTCCTTGTTTTTTGGTATTCTTTTGTCGTGATGTTGCCCATAATGAAAGTTCCAATTTGATTCCTCTTTGATTTCTCTTTTATTAATTTCTTTTATTTTGCTTTAATTAGTTTTCTAGTTTTTATTCTAAATACAAAGTGCATACTGAAAATTGTCTCATGAACATCTAAGCAAAATACAAGCATCTTTAGTGGTTGTGGTGGGAGGGGTGGTTGGCTTGTTCTAACGTAAAGAATTGCCAATTTAACTTCAGTAAATAGCTAAATGTTTTAGGAATCGTCTAAATGTACTTTCTCAAGCCACTTTCCGTTTAGCTGATCTATTAATGAACTTGAACGTGGCTAAAAAATTTTGGAAGCCTGAGAAGTTCAGGTGATTTTTCTAGTATGGACCGACATTCTATGCAAGATCTTTTGGATGATTTGATTGGAGACCAATTTAGAATTTGTGTTTATGCATTTCCTATTTATGTTTCTTTATTTTTTATAATCATTTCATTTCCATGCCACCATCCCGCCAAGCCCTCTGCTCAGCTTGCATGCCAGTTGGAAATCCCTTCTTTCCCAGGCTTCTCGACAATCTCCTCCTGTCTTCTCGGCAGGAAATCTTCGTTGGTTTTCCTGGCAGAAAATCCTTTCTTCCCAGCTGGAAATCTTCTCTGGCTTTCCAGTAGGAACGAAAATCTCTGGTTTTCCGAGCAGGCAATTTCCGATGGTCTTTCCAGACTGAAATCTCCTCTGGCTTACCTGTAGGCCCCTATGCTGGAAACCCTTCTCTACAGCCCAAAAACCCTTCCCTGTAGGTCTTCCTCCAGCATAATTCTTCAGCAGCATCAGTAACAACAACAAAATTAGTGGCAACAAGCACATGCAGGAGTGGCAACAACATCAAGTAACAACAGTTGCAAGTAACAACAACCTTCCTATAACCACCTCTCTTCCTGTAGGCTCGCTGCCGGAGCTTCACCCTACAGTAGGCCCTTCATCAAAGCTTTTCCCTGTTGCAAGCTCTCCTCTAAATCTTTTCCCTATAGCCGTCAATGCTGGAATTCTCCCTGCAAGCCGCTAATCTCCCTGTAGGCTCTTCCAGTTCCTGCTTCTTCTCTCATTGTTTTCCTGCAATGTTGTAGCAATGGATCTTATTTTTCACTCTCTCTGTTTGGATGTTTTGTGCAGGCAGAGCAGCTGTAGGTTTAGGTTGCAGCCCTACAGATTTCTTTCAAAGTTCCATATAGCTTTTCAGGCTTTTCTCCTCTTGCTGAAAGAAGCAACCGGGAACTCTGTAACTTTTAGCAGCTCAGAATTCTTCCAGTCCTAAACATGAATAGGGTTTATGACCAAGTTCAGAATGAAGATGTCCTGTTCTACTTCAGAGCCTATCAATTTGATGATACACAAATGTATCATATCTTCCTATTTTGCTAACAATGGAAGATTTCAACCTTGGATAATAGATTCAGGTGCTTTCGATCACATTATTGTGGACATTCATACTCTCATCAAGTACCTTGAGTCAACCTCAAATTTGTTAGACTTGTCGATGGATCCCACTCCGAGATTGTTGGAAAAGAAGACGTGAAAATCTCGAAACATATTCAAATTTCATCATTATATGTTCTCCAATCAAATTGCAACTTGCTTTCAATTAACAAGCTTACTCATGACCTGAATTGTGTCACTGAATTTTATTTTAACTTTTGTGAGTCTCAGGTGGTAGATTCAGGTAAGTTGATTGACAATAATGAATAGCATCAATGTCTATACTTGCTCAAGGAAAACTATTCCCTTAATACACAAGTTTGTTTTCCAATATCAGCTTCTCATTATCTCGAGTTTGTTGTGTTGGAGTCTATTGAAAGTCGAGTTTTATTATGGCATTATTATCGTCTTGGTCATCCCAATTTTCTTGTATTGTGAAGTTGTACCCCCATCTTTTTATTAACAAAGAACCTGTGTTCTATTAGTATGAAACACGTCAATTGGCTAATCCTGCCAGCTATGTATATCCTCTGTCTTAGTACGACCCTCACATCCTTTTTCTATCATCAATAGTGACATTTGGGGACCTTCAAAATTGAAAATCATCAATGAACACAAATGATTTGTATCATTCATTGATGATCACACTAAAACCAATTTGATATTTCTCACGAAGAATAAATCTGAAACTACACAAATTTTTAAGTATTTGTATAACTTGATTTACACTCAGTTTCGATGCAAATTCAGATTCTCAAAACTGATAATACAAAGGAATTTTTCAACTCAATTCTTGAATCCTTTTTTGTAAAGAATAATATTATCCATGTTGAGTTCTTGTGTTGAGACTCTACAACAAAATGAGATAGCTGATATGAAGAATAGGCATCTCTTTGAGATATGTAGGTCTCTATAATGCTTTCTCACAATGTGCCAAAAAAATTTTGGGGAGATGTGCTCACTACCACCTACCTCCTCAGTAGGGCTCTTGGATTTAAAGACCCTATCCATGTTTTAATGGAAAAAACCCTTATGTTAGCCCCTTCTTATCCCATCTTCCTCTAAAAATATTTGATTGTCTACTTTTTTCACATTCATTAACCAAACCGCACAAAGCTTGACCTAATATCCATCAATTATATTTTTTTAGGGTATGTCTCTAACAAAAAGGAGTATAAGTGTTATTCTCCTGTTACCAGAAAATATTATAACTCCATGGATGTCATATTTTTTGAAACTTTAATCCTACTATCCTAAATCTAATGTTTAGGAGGAGAGTACAAATGAATAACATTTTTGGGATGCACTTGATATCACCTACATGAAAACCCCACCTACTCTTCTTACTCCTATTCGACCAGATTTTCCTACTCTTGTTGAGGATATAATCAACCCAACTTGAAGTCCACAACAAAGAACTTCCTATGTGTGCTAGGAGGAAGAAAATTTTTGAGCGGGTGGAAGATAACTTGCAAAATCATAATTGTTCCAACCAAAACTCGCGTTCACATTTATCTGAAATTTTGGTAGAGTGGTACTCATGAGTGATATCCCTTTTTTTTGTGCTCATGACAATGAATGTTGTAGTAGATGCCCATTTTAGGAGTATGTAGCTTATGAAAAGTTATCCTAAGCCTATAAACGTTTATATCTAATCTTAATAGTGTGCATATCCCTAAATTCATTTATTGAGATCTTAGTCAAAAGATCCACCTAGCAGGGCAAGAGAACCGACAACAGAGTGATGGAGGTTTGCATTGATGCTAGCAGGTCAAGAGAACTCAGTCAAAAGATCCACCTATAGGTATTATTTCTATATCTAGAGAAATCTTGTCACATAGAGGAATAAGAAATAAGGAGTGGTCTCTAGAAGTAGTGTAAAATGCAAGTACCAGACACTTGCTTTGGAAATTTGTGCTTGCTTTGGAAATTTGTGAAGGAATGTTGATCCAAATATTACTAAATGAGTTGTGATACTCCATGGTCAATCTCATAAAGATGTTCTGTGACAGTCAAGCCTCCATTAGTATTAGAAAGTATTTAGTGCATCATGACAGTACCAAACACATTAACATTAATAAACATTTTATCTCTGAGAAGGACAATGGAGACATTATTCGCTTTATCTACTTTCTAACTCATCTTCAAGTTGCTAAAGTAAATCTCTATTTTCAAGTGATTTGATTGATTTAAATACCAGCCATTTAAGTCCCAACTTTAGGCAGAGTGAAATTTTGAGTTCCCTATTTTATATTTATTCTTGTTTATTTTTTTCTTATTATGTTGTATTACTTTCTTTTTGTTGGTTGTTGTCTTTGGTAAGTTATAATGGTAAGAATTAAGTTTTCCTTTGCCTTATTATATTAGGATAAGGGTTGTAATTTGATGATTAAGAAATAAGAGAATACAGTTTCTTCAATAATGTAGGACTTGAAAGCTGAAACCAGCATCGAAGACATTGCAAATGCTATTGCAGAGAGAGAAAGAGGGGCGAAACAATTTGCTGATGACTTGCCATCTTCTTGCAGGTATTATATTGTTGAAAACTCTTGAAATTGAGATTCTATATTAGGGAATAGACCTATTGAGTGTCTTGGATGCAGGAATAGTGATGCAAACTTTGAAGAGTGCATGCTATTATCAAATGGCAAAACAGATGCTACTTTATTAGAAAACAAGGAAGAAGAAAGTAATAATCGAGAAGAAAATACAGAGAGTCATTCAGGACATGTATCATTGCAATGTGAAGATATCGATGCTCCTAAGGGTTTGCCTACTTCTTTCAAATTGAGCTGATCATTTTTCTTTTCTTTATCCTGTCTGTGGCTTTGTATATATGCCATGACCTTAACGTCATGTATTCTTTTTTTTTTTTTGGGCAGTTCCTGAAAATTTTACAAATTGTTGCCCAGGCAAAGTTTCCGGTAGCGTGAGACTTAAACATGTTTAAATATGTACTTGGCTTAATTTGCCTTCCAACTTAGTTAACACATTGTTTTTGAATAATGATACTTTTTTGCTGAATAGGTTTGTGTGGAGGAGTTTTTTAATATTTTCTTCTCTGACCAAGCTTATAATTTTGTGGAGTGCTTCCATAAGAAATGTGGAGACAAAGGTAATTTTGCATGGATTATAGTTGATGCTTTTTGTCTTTTTGATTTTTCTATGGTTAAGCCTATTTCTGATTTTCTTTTCCATTGTATTTCAGACTTTCAATGCACTTCTTGGCGTCGGCATGAACAATTTGGATACATTCGTGATTTGTCTTTTTTGCATCCTATCAAACTATATCTTGGTATCATCAATTTATGCAAGTCTTTAATAATCATTTTTCTTTAGTGATCTAGGCTCTTCACACCTCATTTTAATGCATCTTCATGTAGATGTTTAGTATCTTATTCAAGTTGTGTTTTCTTTGTTATCGTACTCGAGGGGCGAAATATGGGCGTTGTCAGGAAGCTCAAAAATTTCGGGTCTACAGGAAAAGGTATTCCATATTCTATTTATCCTTCATGACGTTGTTGCTAAAATTTAATTCCAATTTTGTTATAAGTGTCTAAATTTGGATAATGAATATTTGGGGAGCTTTAGAGTTGTGTCATATAGGGATGGAAGGAGCAATTATTTGAAATGAACCGAGTGAGAAGGTTATGTTCCCGTCACCATCCCATGTAATGCCATATCAATTTTTTTGTTTGGCATCAAATATGGTATCATTGCAAAATAATAAAAGACTAAATTGCCCTTAGATGTACAAAAGATTAATTTGCTCTTAGGCTAGGCATTTGCATAACAATACTTCTCCTAATAGACACATTGTACTTAAGGTGGGAAAAAGTGAGTGTTCCTCCACCATAACTATCTCTATTTCTTCATCCTCTTCCTCCTTATTACGTATTATTAGAACTTCTAATTTTCGATCTTTACAATGGTGCCTTGAGGTAAACTTTTTATCACACCGAAAACATAACCCTTTGACCCGCTTCTCCTGAATCTCTATCTCTGTAAGGTGCTCGAGTGTCGCTCTCGGTCGTGGTCCATTATTTTCATCCCTTGGTATCGTCGAGGTTGTAGTAGCTCAGTACGACGCTCCATCTGTGTTGCTTTTGCTAGCCTTTTCAATGTGATTCTTGTCCTACACCATCTGGGATAGCTCTGCCTTCCCTCAATCCTCGTAGTTTCAATAGTCGGAGCGCTACAAGCATGTCGGGCTTTAGGCTTTCATGAAATTCTTTTCCAATCTTGCTTCAAAAATCTCCCTCAACCGTCCGGACAATAACTATCTGATTCAAGGCATAGAATTGCTTGTGTAGGTTTCCTTCCTAAATTACTCTAAAACATTTCAACAAAAAATCCTTAATTTTTTCCCACGAATATATCAGGTATTGAATCACCCTCAACTGAAACCATGTTAGGGATTTCCCCTCCAAACATAGCCTTGCTGCCATAATCTTCTCCTCTATAGTTAACCCATTCACCGCGAAATATTGTTTTACCTGATATGCCCACCCATGTCTGTCTTCCCCCTCGAAGATTGACGTCTTCAACTTCTTAAGCCTAACAACACCAACCTAACTTTCTCTCCCCCTTATGTTTCCTCATGTATATAAAGTGAAACTCCCCTCCCTTTTCGATCATAGCCATACCCCATTTTGGTTTCTCTCCTTTGTACTCCTCCCATCCCCTTGCATAACCCCTCCTCTATGTCTCAGCTTAACCCCCTCCATCATAAATCTTTGATCCACCCTCCTTCGTAGTCCTAGGGGGATGTTCGCAATGGTAGATGTTTTTTCTCGTATTTCTCATGTTCGATCTCTTTCCTCTTTCCCTTTCAATCTGACCATAAATCCTCAGGTCAACCTTTGATTAGGATTTGTAAATTGAGTCGTTGGCAGGATCTTGGATTGCATCTCAATGAGCTTCTTTATCATCTCCTCGAGATTCTCGAATCGGCCCACCCTCCATTCGACTCTTTGTGAGAAAAAAATATATCGTGACTATTCTACATTCAATTTTCCATGGAAGAAACCCTATTCTCTATAGTGGAGAACTTTTCGTCCATCCCGAATTTAAGTTTACTGATCTCTTTCTCTAACTTTTTTCTCAAAATAATCTACTTTTTTGGCTGACTTTATTCCCTATACGGTTTCAAAACTCCTTTATGAAATTGCGAGCTTCAAAAATTTTTATGTGGTTTTGACGTGCGTGGTAATCTAAAGTTGCGATCACTGAATTAATGTACGTGGTTTGACGCTTGGAAGTCATGTGGACTTCAGACACCGCGATCAAAATTCTTGTATGCAGATTCAACATGAAACTCCTTTGCGCCGCTATCTTGATCACTGCTTTCGATCAGTACGATGTTGATTTCCTTTGCACCGGTATCCTGATTCTTTATATTGGCAAACTTTTCATTCCTGAAATTAAGTTTTGCTCATCTCTTTCACTAATTTCTTCTCCAAATCTATGACGTTACTCTGTACGGATTCAGAACTCCTTTATGATGAAATTGGAGCTTCAAAATTTTTGTATTTGGTTTTAACATGCACGGAAATCTAAGTGTCGCGATCACTGAATTCATATACGTGGTTTGTTGCTTGGAAGTGACATGGAACTCTGACACCGCGATCTAAATTCTTGTATGCATATTCGACATGAGACTTCTTTGTGTTGATATTCTGATTGTTATTGTCGACCAGTAGGTGTTATGAAAAATGCAACGACAATACAGCAAAAAACTGGATCAAGAAAAATTCGCAAATCAAAAGAACACAGATTTATGTGGTTTGGTAAATTGTTTGCGTCCACGGAGTTGCGGAGAATTTTATTTCTTCAAGGAATACACCCGTCGATCATCTCGAAGATTACAAGAAAACTTTCCCTCTCTCCTCCTTTACCCGTGAGCCCCCGAAGAAGAACGAATCGCAGGGAAGAGGGAAGTCCTCACCGCAAGCAAATCTCATAAGAGTAGAGGGAGAACTTGGAACCTTACAATTCCTATTTCTTTCGCCGTGAGCCAATGCCTTATATAAAATTGCAGAGGGGGAGAGCAGTCATTATTTAAACCAATTTTTTCTGCAAGCATTTAATGGAGGTGTGCAAGAATTTAATTGTGGCGTGCAAACATTTAATGGTGGCATGCGTGCATTTAATGGTGACGTGCATATATTTAATGGCATACAAGCATTTATGTTCTATAAGTGGAGCTGGGCTCCACTAAACCTAACAATTCTCCCACTTAGAGACAGGTACACTGGCTGCATCTTCCACTAACTGTACCGTCCTTTTCATCAAACGTGATATCATCCACCCCTGAAACTCAAATATATATCTTCATGCTAGAAGACCAATTTAAGTCGAGCATAGCTTCAGTTTCTCAAGTGTAACTCAATTTGTCAACATATCAACAATGTCATTGTTTTCACAAATTTTCTCAAGTAACAAATTTTCATTTAGCAATGATCGAATAAAGTGATACCTAATCTGAATGTATTTGGTCCTGGATTGAAATGTTGGATTCCTGACAATGAATATGACGCTTTGACTATCACTATAGAGTGTGCTCTTTCAAACCTCTTTCCCCAATTCTTCCAAGAAACTCTGCAGTCATATCATCTCCTTTGCAGCCTCTGACACTGCGTTGTACTCAGCTTCTGTAGTGGGCAACGAAACTGTCTTCTGTAGATTTGAGCTCCATGACACTGCAGTACCCCAATAGTATAAACATAACATGTAGTACTCTTTCTACAGTCAATTTCTCCAGCTAAATCTGCATTAACATAGTCCTGTACCTCCAAACTTTTTCTTGAGAAACACAAGCAGATTTCTGAAGAGCCTCTTAGATATCTCAAGATCCACTTGACAACTTCCCAATGTTCCTTCTCTAGATTACTCATGTATCTGCTCACAACTCCTACTGTATGGGTAATATCTGGTATGGTGCAGACCATATCATTTAAAAGTGAACCAAGAGCTGAAACATAAGGAACCTTACTCATGTAATCTTGTTCCTCCTCTGTCTTGGGTGATCTTGGGTGATTGATTTTTGGTTGAGTCTGAAATGACTGCCAAAGGTGTGTCAATTGGTTTAGATTTATCCATATTGAATCTGCTAAGCACATTTCTCACATATTCCGCCTGTGAAAGCCTCAATGTGCCTCTAACTCTGTCTCTGATATTCTTCAAACCAAGGATTCGTCTTGTCGCTCTCAAATCTTTCATTGCAAAGTGCTCTAACATCAGTCACTTCATATTATTAATTTCATCAATACTGGCCCTGCTATAAACATATCATCCACATACAACAACAGGATGATATAGGAATTGTCAAAGTACCTGACATAGTAACAGTGATCCATCTGACATCGGTTGTACCCTGCATTTTGCATGAAATTATCAAACTTCTTGTATCACTCTGTAGGAGCTTGTTTCAGGACATACAAACTCTTCTTCAATCTGCAAACTGAGTCTTCCTACCCCTGTACCACGAACCCCTCAGGCTGGCGCATGTAGATGTCTTCTTCAAGATCTTCATGAAGAAAAGTTGTCTTCACATCTGACTGCTCTAGTAACAGACCTTTAGTAGCAACTATATCCAGTATCATCCTGATGGTTGTGAGCTTCACCGCAGGAGAAAATATCTCAAAGTAATCAATGTCTTATTTCTGCTGAAAGCCTTTTACAACAAATCTAGTTTTGTATTTATTAATGTCATCAAACTCAATCTTCACTCGATACACTCACTTGTTGTGCATTGTCTTTTTCCATGGTGGAAGTTTTGTCAGCTCCCATGTTTGATTTCCCAACAGCGAATTCATTTCCTCATGGCCGGCTCCCACTTGCTAGAATTTTTATCTGCCAAGATTTTTTCATACTTTTGTGGCTCTCCACCATCTGTCATTAGGATGTAGTTCAAAGTTGGTGAGTAATGTTGTGGAGAACGTCTACTCCTGACTGACCTGCGAATTGTAGCTGGAGTAGTGAATGACTCTGAACTTTATTGTCGAATAATAGAAATGGGTGCCCCAGACCCACTGTGATATCTGGTAAATCATCAAACCTCACGAACTCCGATTCATGAGTTGCTTCGGAATTTGTACTAGTGTTGCCTTTGTACATCTTCTTATTAAAGATCGCATTCCTTCTTTTGATAATCTTCTGATCATGATAATCTCAGAATCGATAGTTAAATGCTTCGTCTCTATAGCCAATGAAATTACATTTCTTTGACTTAGCTTCAAGCTTGCTACGAGCATCAGGATTGATTAGAACATAAGAAAGACAACCAAAAGTCTTAAGATAAGAAAATTTGACCTATTTGCCGCTCCAGACCTCCTCAGGTAATTCATAGTCTAATGGGACGGATGACCCTTGTTGATCGAATAAACTGCAGCGCTGACCGCATCTGCCCAAAAAGTTGGTGGTAGTACGACGTGCAATCTCATGCTCCTGGCACTCTCATTGATGGTCCTGTTCATACGCTCTGCA